TCTGAGGTCTCGCCAAGTTGCCCAGGCGGGTCTTGAACCCGCGGGCTCAGGCAATCCACTCACCCCGGCCTCCCAAAGGTGCAGGATTACAGGCTGAACCCCCGAGCCCGGCTTGCCTTTGTGTTCTTGGCGTAATTTATTTTGTAATAAATTGCACCAATTAAGCTATCTCAACTGATACTGAGCCTCGGGTTCAAAATGTATCATTAGAAATCTCAGAACCTTCCTAAACTAGCTAGAGCCCAGACTGGATGGAAAGAGGAGACTTGAAGCAAGGCAGTCTTTGAAAAATTAAGAAATGATTTCTTGAAAGTGAAAAAATTAGGACAAACTCAACAATTGAAGAAGAGGAAACTAGAGAAAGAAAATGTACTCCCTTGTTTTAACTTAAAGCTTGAATTCAGGTTTCTAAGACATCCTTGCCAGAAACATCAGACTGATTTCTGACGCAGTTATTCTATGTATGATTTGATCAGATACAGGAGTCAAAATGTACTTATACTGCAGCTAGGGATGTGCGGGCAAGACACAAGATAGGGCCATGCAGTAGCCAGGCATTTTGAGCACCAAGCATTCTGTATTATCTAAACCTCACAGTAATCATGTGGTGAATACTACTTGTGTGCTGTTTTATAGATGAAGATAGGCCAGAGGGCGGTAAGAAGTGGGTCAGAGGAGAAGGTAGGTGAAAGGGTCAGGCACTGAATCCAGGTGTATGACACCAAAGCCTTGCTTGTGACTGTCAAGGCATGTCATACCCAGAGGTGCCTGAGGCAGATGGGATCTGCCTTGACCTGGACACATGACAGGATACAGATTAGGATGACATGGGCCCAATATAGTGGGATAGCATGTAAAAGAAATAAACATAAGACTTTACTTGACAAAATAACCAAGGAGCAACTTAACTGTGTGAATAAAGATTGGAGGTAAACATAATTTTATAATGGCACATATAAGGTCTGAATTAATTAGGGTACAAATTTAGTCCAGTATGATGATAACCTTTGCCAGAAAAGCTAATACTGATTTGTGTGATTACTAGGAATATTTATATGCTAGAGATACGATATACTGAATAGAGTGGAATTGACAGTTGAGGGAAACTGCCGGGGCGGGGGGGGCACACCTCATTAACAAGGGTTTCTGCATAATCAACATCTGTATGCCTAGCCCTGAATTGTACCCCACATCTTTAAAAGAAAAAGAAAAAAGAGAGGAAAACAAAAAGATATACTGAATAGACTGCACATGAGGTATTAAATATGTTTTGGGTATCACACTTAGACATAGCACGTTTGTTGAAGAAACAAAAAACCATCAGATGAGGTGGGACTACTTGAAGAACTTGGAGGTGTTAGTCTAGAAAGTTGAGTTGATGAAAATAGAAGATCTGAGTGGTGGCTCCAAAGAAAGATCAAACTGTTCTATATCACGGCCCTCAAGAGTCAGGGACCAGCCTACTTAGAAATAGGATGAGCTACACATGGTGGTATTGAGTGCCTGTCCCTAGTGTAGAATGGGGACAAGCTGGAGGCCTGTGTTGGTGGAGACTCGGGAGATCAACCCAGATGACTCAGAATTCCACTCTCCCCTTCTTTGCCAGGGATCCACAAATGCTAAAGAACTGTCTTCTAAGGGAGTGAAAATCTGGGATGCCAATGGATCCCGAGACTTTTTGGACTGCCTAGGATTCTCCACCAGAGAAGAAGGAGATTTGGGCCCTGTCTATGGCTTCCAATGGAGGCATTTTGGGGCAGAATACAAAGATATGAATTCAGGTGAGGAAACAGCAGTGCTTCCCCTTTCCCGAGTGTCCTTCCCAGTGTGAGTTTGCTCCATTGTTTCAGATAAAGTATGGGGGGATAGGTCAGTGTCACAGGAACGGAAATGTAACTTTGACATTGTGAGGGACTGTGCCAGGCCGCAGCTAAACCTCATGAAGGCTACATCACACTCTTGGTGATTAGCATTCAGTGGGCACTTGTGCACTTTCCATACCTGTGTCATCATTAGCAGATAGCTGCATGGTTGGTGTCCGTGTTGGGGACTAAACTAGGAAGGAAGTTCATTGCTGGGACAAAATGTCCAGGCTGCCTTGTGGCAGCTTTGATTCCCCTTTCGAGACTGAGCCACCAGCATGCTGTAGGTGGCACTAGTGTGACAGCATAGTTCCCGGGCAGCCTCTTCCAGCTCTGAAGGTTTGGAGGCAGAATGAAACTTTTACTCTTGGACTTCTACCTTCTTCTGTCTCTAGTTTATGGCATCCATTGGAGGCATTTTGGGGCAGAATATAAAGATATGGATTCAAGTGAGAAAACAGAGCAGTGCCTCCCATTTCCCGAGTGCCCTTCCTGGCATGAGTTTACTCCATCGTTTCAGATGGCACGACTTCCTGACTGTCACCAAGCCCAGCCCCTGTTCCACATGTCCTTAGGAAAAGCAGCCCAATGGAGAGATTTGAGCCTGGTGGTGTCAGAATTCTCCAATAAAAGCCTAGAGTCTGTATTTTACATGCAAATGTGAGATCTTTAAATGTTGGCAATTTCAGGAAGTTTAAAAAGGCTATGTGGACATGGAAACAGGCAGATTCCTAAAGGCAGAAAGTAGAATGCTGTTTGCCAGGGGCTGGAGGGTAGGAAGAATGGGGAGTTAGCTATAACAGATACAGAGTTTTCATTAGGGATAATGGCAAAGTTCTTGAGTTGGATTGTGGTGATGGTTGTCCAACTAACAATGGGAGTGTACTTAATGCCACTGAGTTGCACACTTAAAAATGGTTACAGTGGCAAGTTTAATGTTATTTATACTTTATCACATTAACAAATGCTGTGTGGGCCAAACTATTTCTGTAGGTAAATATTCAGTAGGTTGTTAATGTGCGCCTCTGTCCTAGGGCAGATTAACATCCTTCTCAGGGTGTGCAGCTACTCCCTTGGGTTAATGGTGCCCTAAATCCTGCCTAGTGTTCAATTATTTCTTGTTGCTTTAGGGGGCCTAATAAAATTATGGTCTTAGTTTAGAGTTGTTGTTGGATTTCAGTGGGGAAGTTTGTCTATTTTGTTTTTAATTTAAAAGTGATTAAATTCACAGGAAATGCCAGAAGAAGAAAAAAGTACAGTGAGGTCCTCTGTACCTTTCAACTAGTTCCCTCAATGATGATATCTTGGGTAACTTTTTGCATAAATTGACATAAGTGTCATCTTCAGACTTAGATTTTGCTAGTTTTACATGTACTTGTGTGTGTATATATGTGTGTACATTTGCAGTTTTAGCACATTATTAGAATCATGTAATCACCATAACACTCAAGATACAGAACTTTACTATCACAGTTCATCCTTTTTTAAATCTTCAGTATTACCTTTTTAGGAATTGTGATTGTGAGAGGACTTTTCCTTCCAAAAAAATTTTGAGAAGTACTGAACTAGAACATAGTGTGACACCAGTAAGTACAAGTTTAACCAGAGGGGATTAGAAGCCTTGTGCTTCCATTAACAGATCACTTCTGGCTTCCAATTCCACCTCAGAAGGAAGGTAAAGAATTAAAGTCCAGGACCAGAAATGAGAGAAAAGTGCAAGGTGGTGTAATCATTATTGAGGTTTCCTAATGTGTAAGTCAATAATGTGTTTAGCTGCTAGATTGTAAAGTAATTTTAGTGGAAGCATTGAAAGCATACTGCCTAGGTTGTAGAAAGAAATTTATGGTTCTCTGTTACTTAGAATGTATGTGGAATGCTGCATTCTACTTAAGATCCAATACTTTCTGTGAGACCAGGATAAACTAGACTGTCATTGAAATTGTAACAATGATTGATTGTTTAGAGACTAAATCTGTAAGGATCACTGGAAAAAACTAAGATTGTTGAGGTTGGGAAGGGCTAGCATGAGGGGTGACTGGAAGAGGTGACTTCATGACAGACCAAATATTTATTTATTTATTTATTTATTTATTTATTTATTTATTTATTTAAGTTGGAGTCTTACTCTCTTGCTCAGACTGGAGTGCAGTGGCTGCTCCCGGCCACCGCAGCCTTGACCTGCTGGGCTCCGGCGATCCTTCCGCCTCAGCCTTCCAAGTAGCTGGAACTACCATGCCCGGCTAATTTGTTTATTTATTGTAGAGATGAGGTCTCGCCAAGTTGCCCAGGCGGGTCTCAAACCCGCAGCCTCAGGCAGTCCACTCACCTTGGCCTCCCAAAGCACAGGATTACAGGCTGAGCCACCGAGCCCGGCCAGACCAAATATTTAAAGAATTCTTGTGTAGAAAAGAAAATAGACTTTTTCCAGAGGATGGACCCACGGCCTCAGATAGGGCCTTGAACTCAACCCAATGACATCTGAAAAATTTGCAGAATGCACTGGATACCTTGTAACCATAGGTCAAGGGGGGACATTGGGCGAAATGCTGGGACAGATGCTCTCTAAGGTCATCGCATGAAATGCTCTGATTAACATATGGATGTGTCCTCTCTTTCTGACAATTTTACAGATTATTCAGGTCAAGGAGTTGACCAGCTCCAAAAGGTGATTGACACCATCAAAACCAACCCTGATGACAGAAGGATCATCATGTGTGCTTGGAATCCAAAAGGTTTAAAGGACTTCATCCTCTTTTATATGACCATATTGTTAGCACAGAGGGAAGCAGTGTGGTATTGTGCAGAGGCGCTGGAGGGAAGCAGGACCCTGGGACTTGCCCCCAGCCACACTTCCATTAACAATTCACTTCTCAGCTTCCAGTTCCATCTCAGAAGGATGGCAAGGAATTATTCAAGTCCAGAACCAGAAAGTGGAGAGAAGTACACACTTTGCCCCACTTTCATCTTCAGATCATAAGGTTGCGCCTGGATGATCTTAATTGTGTATTTGTATTTATCTTTACTCCAAGAGGGTTTTACATTATCTATAAAGATACATGTAAGGTTTTAACATTTTAAATTGGAGCAGATGAAGTTCCAAGTTACCACCACCTATTAACATTTTTAACAGTTATATTGCAAAATTAAACTCTTACCAGGTTTGCTAAATACCCAGTGTATAAGTATTTGCATCTGTAATAGAGACTTTTAATACAGGAGGGTATGCCTCAAGTGCCAGGTTCCTGCAGCCCCTGTCAGTGAAGTGACTCCTGCTGTATTTGTAGTTTGATACCATGAAGCTAGCAGAGATCATTCATGTCAGCCCAGTGGAAGAGCATCATTTCAGCTGTAAACTTAACATGTATAGAAATCTCATGCTGTTGGAGTCTCCCTCAGCTCCATGCCATTGTTGCAAGGGGTGGAGGGAGTGGTCTGTGAAGTTGTGGGTCTTGGGTGATGCTGCAACCCAGTGGCTCCCTCTCACAGTCTCCACTGTGTGAGGTGGCTGTTTCCCTCCTGTTGTACTTGGTCTGTAACTGTGTTCTTTCAAACTGCCACCCCTCCCTGTTTTCCTGTGCTGGCTTCTTAGATCTTCCTCTGATGGCGCTGCCTCCATGCCATGCCCTCTGCCAGTTCTACGTGGTGAACGGTGAGCTGTCCTGCCAGCTGTACCAGAGGTCAGGAGACATGGGCCTGGGTGTACCTTTCAACATCGCCAGCTATGCCCTGCTCACATACATGATCGCACACATCACAGGCCTGAAGGTGGGCTGCTCTCAGGAAGGACTGTCACCTACATGATACACTGAACTCTTCCGTGCTTTAATGTGGAAACATGAGTTGCAGAGAATCCATTGTCTGATTAGTTTGTGTAAATAAGGCATGAATGGCTCCCTTGGGGCCTTTCATAGAGTTTTCCTGTCCTTGTGGACTGTATTCACTATGTGGGTTGTTTGTGATGTAACTGTTAGGAATTAGCTTTACTCAAAGGCTACCCTGGTTAAATTTATATTTTCTGAAAAGGCTTGGAGTGTCTGCATACTCTATGTAATGAGTTTTTAAGTGATGTGTTTTTGTTTTAAATTTTTTATTTTAAAGATGTGGGGTACAATTCAGGGTTAGGTATACAAATGTTCATTATGCAGGTAGCTTTGTTGATGAGGTGATGATTTAAAGGAATTTAAACTACAACATTGACTTTTGCTTTCTACCATGAAATTTTTAGCCAGGTGACTTTGTACATACTTTGGGAGATGCACATATTTACCTGAATCACATTGAGCCACTGAAAACTCAGGTAAGAATTATGTGTTACACTTTTGGGTTTGGTACTTTGTCTTGGTAAAAGGTTAATTTTGGAACATCCCTTATGTAACAGGTATCTGCTCGATGCTGTGTCCAAGATATACATGACTGTGCTCTGACTGCAGGGCTTCAGTTAGGGAAGGGTGGTGGGGAGGTGAGCAAGGACAAGACAGACATCTGCCTCAACAGCCACAGGCACTAAGCATACTAGGTACTGTAAGGTGCTGAACATCAGTATCAGAGAGGAAGAGCCCCATTTGAGCCAGAGGACTGTCCCAGAGGTGGCATTTCAACTCCTATTTTTACTTGGAGGAAAATTGAAATGTAAATGTTTTCCCTTAATGTTAGGCTAACTATGAGGAGGAACCAAAAAACCCTGGAATTTATTTTAAAATTGCATATTCTTCCACATTTAAACTTCAGTCACCTTCAAAGCACTCTCCATTTTTGTTTTGTTTTTTTTAAACAGCTCTGCCAAGTTTTATTAAAGAACAATTTTGCATGGTTTGCTTTTCACTAGTCTGTTCTGGCATGCTTCTATCAATGATAGTGTGCATACTCTAGTATTTTCCGCAAGCTGTGCCCAATTCAAACAGTAGTGATGGACACCAGTTTTGGCCAACATGGCGTAGTACTCTATTTCAATTTTCCTCAAAGCCGGGCAGTTGTTGGCAAGGATGACGAATTTCGCTTTGACTTGTCTGATCATCTTCCGAGTCTGCTTGTACCCCAGCGTGTACTTTCCACTTTTCATAACTAATTGGAGCCTAGAATTGATCAACTCCAGCGACTTTTTCATCTTCTTTGCAGCCACCAACTTCCTGCCTTAAGTGTGGGACATCTCCCAACTAAGAGCAGCCGCCAGGGTGGCCGGGGAGTGAGAAAGGTGTACTCTCTGTTTGATGTAATATACCTATCGAGATGCTTTTTCCATAGTTCAGAACAGCTTTTGAATTCGTCAATTTTGATGCCTTTTAATGATTCTGCTGGTTTTCTTATTTTACCTCTTCCACTTTGGTAAATTGTTTCCCTTTGAGGACTTGATCGGGGGAAACAAAAAAAAAAAGTTGGTCGGAGTGAGATCATGTGAATAGGGAGGGTGAGGCATGGGCTGTTTTGCATCAAAAACTGTTGAACACTCAGTGCATTGTGGGCAGGTGCACTGTCATGGTGGAAGAACCAGTCACCTGTTTGTCACAACTTGAGCCATTTCTTCTGTAAATTGTGACACGACCTTTTCAAAACTTCCAGATAAAAACTGCAAGAAGTCCACCCTCCAAAAGATAATTCCAAGTTTTTTGGGTTCTTCCCTCATATAGTACTTAGGTCTAAACTTTCAAAAGACTCTTCAGATCCCTAAGTTATAGCAGCCAGCAAATGATATTTGAAATGGCAATACAAATATAAGTTTGTCTGCTTCTTTAGCCCCAAGAAAAAAAGAACCCAAAATCTTTAGCCCCTTCCAGATTAGATCTGGGGTTTAAAGTTCCTCCTTCGAGGGAGATTGCCTACCCTTGAATGGAGGGTGACTTTAGCTTATTCAGATGTCTCCCTCTGGCTGCCTGCTCCATTGTTTTGGATGCAATAATGGGAGGTTGTGATCTCTGTCTGTTTGTCCCAGGGATCCTGGCTTGCATCCCTTTCTGTTCATTGTCAACACATGTCATCTTTCCTTCTCCTTTCTGCCAGGGATAGTTGGAATAGGGATTGTGGAACTCAAATATGCTTAGTGAGTACGACTGTGAGTTACAGATAGAAAAGAAAAAGACTATGTTCCCATTTTTAATAAATTTACCAAGAGTGATTATAAGAACTTACACCTGCGGAGCCACTAAGCTCCTGGTGCTGAGTAATGTCACAAAACACTCTCACTCTTGATATGTATGAGAGAACCAGTTGGTTATGCTCCATTGTTGCATAACCAGGGACAAGATATCTACAGAATTGCACTCCTGTAAAATAAAACTTTGTTGATCAAATACTGTGTACTTGTTTCATGAAGACATGGGAGCAGAATTAAAGCAGGTTATACAACTATGGTGAAATAATGGTCTTATTTTGTTGTTTGTAGCTTCAGAGAGAACCAAGACCCTTCCCGAAGCTCAAAATCCTTCGAAAAGTTGAGAAAATTGATGATTTCAAAGCTGAAGACTTCCAGATTGAAGGGTACAATCCGCATCCAACTATTAAAATGGAAATGGCTGTTTAGAGTGATTTCAAAGGAGTTTGGAGGATATTGTCAGTCTTTAGGGATTAGGCTGGATGCCCGGGTGAAAGTTCTCTTTGCTTTAGAGGACAAAGGAGCTAGATCAAAAATCTGTCAGTGACCTATCAATTATTAACTTATAAGGGTATTAACTTTTTCAGGTGTTGTCACTGACAGACTTAACTATGTCAGTTCTTTCAGTAATAAAAGGCCTTAGTTTAGTTAGCTCACTGAAGAAGGTATGAAAATACTGAGATTATGAATAAAGTGAGGAGAATGAAAATTTATATGCTCTTAACAAAAATGTACATGTATTTCAGTCCCACATTTTTATGAAGGTTGGTGAATTTCAAGAATTCTGTAAGTCCCAAATTTGAGTGAGCTTATGAGTAATGCTATAGGTCATATTGTATAGTGTGGTTATGAACATTTAAGGTTATATGTGTTTTATATATTGCTATAATAAAGTCCTAGGTAAAGTGCTGTATTCTGGTTTGGATATTATTTAAGGGGTTAAAATACATTTTAGAAATGCTGACTAAACTATATTTTGCTTTCTTTTTCTAGGATTCATTTAATTCTAACTATATTTTATCATTACAATGACCGCTAAGGATAGAGTTTTTTTTAAGGTTTATTATGAGATAGTCTATAAAATACCATTTTGTGGTGTGAATTCTCTAATAATATGCTTAGCTTGAGCAAGGAAAGGATGCTAAACTACTAAGAGCCAATCAGTGACATCTTCATCCCTTTGTTGTGTGCCAGATACCCCATGATGCAGCAGGACTATTTTTATTCTGCTAATATATGAAAAGTGTTAAAAAGAAATTATTCCAACAAATTGCATAACATGTTGCTTATTTTCAGAGTACAATTTAACGTTCTAGGTACCAGCACTTGATAGAAATTTTGTAAGAATATCTTCCTAAGGCTTTGAGTTAGTTAAATCTAAATGTATGGATGGATTAAATAGAATTATGACTGAGCTGATTTCTGAGATTAGTATGACTTAGCTGAACTAATCTTGATAGGTAGGATGAGACTTTTTTCCTTCTGTTTTTGTAAAACTGTGTCCAAGAAGTTTTAAGCTTTTTTACTTAACAAAGACAAAGGGTGAACACTTAATTTTCTTGAGAAGCAAGGAGTTTCTTCCAGACCTCACCATCTGGATATTGGTGTTTCTGTACAGATTCCTCCTTCATTTCTGTTGAATAGCCAGCCTCCTAGCAAAGAAAAAAAATGAAGTACTGTTGCTATTGACTTGGAACAAAAACCTATATTTTGTGTATTTCTGTTGCTCTAAGAAGTGCTTTTATTTTATTACAATAAGGAAATGTAGATTTATTACAGGAAGGATATGTTGTAAAGGGCACAATGGGCAGGACAATGGCAAGAGTGTCTGCCTGCAGAAATGCTTTTATTTTTAAAAATCTGTTTTTTTATTTTTTTCTGCAGAGTGGGTAGAGACAGGGTCTCACTATGTTGCCCAGGCTGGTCTTGATCTCCTGGCCTCAAGGAATCCTCTCACCTTGGTCTTCAAAGTGCTGAGATTACAGGTGTGAGCCACTGTGCCCAAGAAATGCTTTTAAATCTAAGCTGGAGGCAACTGAATTAACAAAATTATTGAGACTGTTTGAAATGGAGCAAAGGGGTGCATTTTACTGCCTGCTTGCCAGGATTAGTTAAGTAAATTCATCAAACTTCCTTTGATAATAGCACAACCTCTGTTGGTGAAAATGAGCCCTAAGCACTTAATCATTGTCAGGATAAATGGCTCCAATAACACAACTGTAGTCAAACATTTTAGGTCATTAACTCGCTGGATGGTGCCAGGTTTTTCTGCACAAGGATTGCAGGTGTTAAGGTCTCAGTCAGTGAAGGCTAGCATTACAGAAGCCTTGTCAGAGGCAACTTCACTTCCAAGCCCTAACCTTCAGGCCTTAAGATTTTGATACTGACTAACTAAAAAGCTGTGTGTTTCCAGATACTGCAAATAAACTCTAAGGAGTCAAAGCTTTGTGCTCCACAGTCTGGTTCATGAGAACGGGGACAGTAGAAGCTGGCAGCAAAACACCCCCAGGCTGCAGCTCACCTTTGGAGGCATGTAGGAAGCCTGCTGAATCACCACAGGATACTTGAAGTGTTCGTGCAGATGGTCAACATACTCACACATCCTAGAAGGGAAGAATCACGGGGCAATGACTCCTAAAGTCATTTCATTTATGTTGTGTAACTGTTACAGTAGGGAGGGGACAGAACTATTGTGACACAGTGGCCTTGGCCAAGGCACAGCTGTGATACCATGTGTTTCCAGGCAAATCCTTAAACCTCTGTGCCTCAGGTGCTTTTCTTTTCTTTCTTTTTTTTTTTGAGTTAGAGTCTCTGTCGCCCAGACTGGAGTGCAGTGGCCGCTGCCGGCCACCGCAGCCTCGACCTGCTGGGCTCCGGCGATCTTTCCGCCTCAGCCTTCCAAGTAGCCGGAATTACAGGCACGCATTACCACGCCCGGCTAATTTTTTGATTTATTGTAGAGATGAGGTCGCGCCTGCCTAGGCGCTTTTCTTCTGTAAAATACAGCAGTGTGGATTGGGGGCTTAAATGAAATGAGCCATGAAGTCCCTTTTAACACTAAAGGTTTTGTGATGCCCTTTAAAAGGCACCAATTCAGACTCCATAAATATCTAGAACTATTTGGGTGACTTGCCAAAAGTTAGAATAGATTATAATTAACAAATGAGGTTCCTTCCAGCTATACATAGGATTTGGTCACCTGAACAACTACAACAGGCAGACTATGTACCTGTTACTGGAGATACGCAGGAATGGCAGCAAAGATCCTCATTATTTCAGAGGACACAGGCACTAACATCAGCTATGATGTGTGTTCTGTGCAATCTATAAAGAACAGGTACAGGTGAAGACCCAGACACATGGGAGAGAACAGCTAGGCCTTGAAAAGATGAACAGGGAATGGGTGTTCCATACAGAATTACAAAGCAGAGGTTGAGGTGAGACAGCACATCATGTCAGTGTCTGGTGACGGCTTTCCTTGTACAGGAATGTTCCCAAGTAGCGAGGCCTGCATGAGGCACCATCACCCGCTCAGTAAGCGACTACATTGGCTCAGGAGTAACCTTCATGCTTTTCTTGTCTCCTAGAATGAAATGTATTCCAGAAAGCATCCCTTAAAACCACAAGACTTTTCAAGGCTCATGAGAGCCTACCTCAGTCCTAAAGGGGGCAAAAACAAGATAACCTAGGAATAGTTATTTTCTTCATTTTAGAATCATATGAATTGGAAGAGAAAAGGAAAATGAGTTATCATTTTCCAGATTAATAAGCCAAGGTTCAGAGTCATGTGAGGTCAAATAACTAGTGGTAGCCTTAGGACTGAGGGGACCCAGGTTTCCTTCTTTCCAATCAAATGTTCTTTCTTATAGTAAAAAATAAAATAGTTTTGGCATATTAAAAGGCAGCACCTATCTACTTACTACATTCCTGAAGAAAGAAGCCATTATAATTATAATTGGAGCCTCCCCCCACCCATGTACCCTGATGGGTCCTCTCTCACAGTCCTAAACTTGGTGCTTTCATTCCTTTGTTTTATACTTGTAGGATTCTTTCTGGAATACATTTCATTCTAGGAGACAAGAAAAGCATAATAAGCAAAGCCATGTGTGCAGATGACTGGAAGGAGATTGCCTAATTTAAAGCCCACCTGGGGCATGCTGAGGAATAAGGTAAAACTGAAGACTCCAGTGTCAGGAATAGGAGAATGAACAGAAGTGGGGAATATATATACATGATGGAAAAGAAGCTTGTTGATGGAGGAACATGGTTGCAAACCCCACCTTCAGTGTACTTACAAGATAAAGTGAGTCTGTTACCAGGAAGCTACCCTTCTAGAAGGGAAAATGACTATTTATTGGTGGGTCTATGTTATTGTCTCCCATGTGGAGAAGTGGAAGCAAAACAAATCCGACCTGTGAGTTATAAGACATGCCAGGGGACAGGGACTTGGTGTTCCTGGTCACAAAAGCAGGATTTTCAAAGATCTGGCCTGGACTGAAGAACTCTATGGAAGCAGAAAGTATTAATGCACATTACTGACCTGTTTTTAAGGCTTGCAGAGACTGATATGTAGTCAAATATAATCAAGTGCTGTACCAGTTCACAGAGGCCAACTCCACCCGCGTGGGGGCAAACAGGAACTAAAATGAAGACATTTCTGTTTAATGCCAAGAATAGGGCAGAGAGAGGAAAGGGTGAAAAGGAACCTTCTGGTTTTTCTTACTGCCCACAGGTGACTAATTCATTAATATTTAGGAATGAATTTCCAGGATGAAAATCATCAAAGATTACCTGATTAAGGTTAAATGAGTTAGAAAAAAAATCAAAATAGCAAATTACAGACTCATGTGAATTGCAGAGTCCATGGAGGTATCGGATGGGTGGGGAAATGGAGGTTTGTCTGCAGCCTCTGCATTGTCCTTACTTTCAAACTTTTTGGCCATCAGCAACACTGAGAGGTTCTCATTGACACTTCCCAGTCTGCAGCTGTCAATCTGGAGGAACTGCAGAGCCTTCGCCTGTAGGAGTTGCTTAAATATCACTCTATTATGGCACTGGAAATAGAATTAAAAATAACACCAACAAAGGAGTCAGCCTTGGCCATCAGACGCTCTAAACCCAGCCCTGTGGCAATTCCATACCACTGTTACTCATCAGTGGCCTTCAGGAAGTCTAGACTGGATTTCTTTGTTCTCAGTGGGCACCAGGCAAGCCTGATAAGTGTGGGTGGGGGCTTTGTGCTCACTTCTTTTTCTTCATTTTTTTTAATAACAAAAATGGCATTTTAGTGAGCAGAAGAGAAACACTGAAGTGTACGAGAATTAACCAGACGTGGGTGAGGAGCCAGACAGAATTCTTATACCATCATGGACAGCCAGACTTCTGTCCACTTCCACCTTCGACTGGACTTTGGCATGATCTGGGTTTGGTGGGTTTGGTCTGGTTTGAGATGAAGCCACACCGAAGACAGCAGCTCAAATCAAGCCAACCATCTGGCCAATCTGTCGCATGTAGATGCTGTTCAAGGGCAGAGAGTATCTCTCATCAGGAACAGGATTGTAGTTGGAGCTGGAGTTGAACACTTTTAACTTGTGAGATTTAGGCTTGTGCACAGGCTTTTTCTCTTGGTCCTGCCCTCCTTCAGAGAAGAATTTCTTCTAGGGTGATTCCCGAAGATGTTTGCCCACAGATGCAATGTGTCCCTCTGTTGTAAATGTGTATCTGGTTCCAGATTTGTGTACTGGATTCTCATCAAACAGCAAGTACAAGTATTTACAGGTCTTGCTGAGAAAGATGCTCTCTGTCCGGCCTTCTGTGGACCTGTTGATGATATGATGCAGCACGGCGTACCCACACTTGATTTTTGTGTACTTTTACAGACTCTGCAGAATATCCATTCCTATATGGAGGTAGAAGGGATTCTTGATTACCTGGTAGAGGAGATACGTGGGCTCCACTAACTCTGGTCTCAGCTGGTAACGAGAATATCAGGTGCCTGCAGCGGCTAGTTATACTTCTCAGGGAAGAGGACATCCTATCGTTTCCATATGGCAGAGAGGCAGATGACATCTTCCACATCTGTCAGCACCTGCAGTCCAGGGAAGAAGACCTGCAGAGTCGACCCAGGTGTTCATCAGCTGCTCATTGAACATATTCTCCTTGAGGCAGAGTTGGGGGAGGTCTCCTTTGCTTTCATTGCAGGCTTTCCGCCCTCTTAAGTAGTTCTGAATACTCTGGCATGCCTCATTAAACATTTCTAGGTCTTCTTTTTCTCCAAAGAGAATATAAGATTTCAAGAGGTATTCGTAGAAGGAGTCCAGCCCAGCAGCACCCAAGCCACTGCTTTCCAACCCAATGGCCCATCTGAATGTTCACAACATTGCCTAATATCCCTGTGTCATTGCTCCGGAGGTTCCAAAGGGCTTTCACTGCTCCGTCTGGCCACCCACTCAAACGTGGAATCCCCCGGCAGTCGGCTGAGAATCCCAAATTCCACCAGTAGGGAGCTATCACCTGCTGTGCACGTCTCAGCATCGCCGTCAGAAGGAACTCCTGTCTTTAGATTCATAGGGGATCCCTATGGGCCATATGCAACAATTCATTATCGCAATCCTTAATTGTCATGCCACCAAAGGGCTGCTCAGGACTCTTATCGTGGCCTCAAAGGCCTGGACGGCAGAATCTCCGTCCAATGAAACTGTGTTGATCACTAGCTTGACTGTTTTCTGGAACTCAGATGAATTTCCTTTATTGCAAGTGTATCCGATGCATCAGCAAGAGTGAACGAACAATTCCCTAGCGCATCATTCATGTTCGGATTTGAAGGGTCCCCGCGGTCGGGGTTGAGTTAGTCCTGGGAAAATGTGTGCGCCACGCAGTTGTCGTAGCGAAGACGAGGATGCCCAGCGCCAGGTCGCGCATCCGGGCGCGCAGCTGCCGCGGGAAGGCGCCGCTGTCGCGCTTTCCTTCTCCGCGGCCGCCCAGCACGGAGCCCCAGTGCGCCGGGACGCACACGCCGCGGCCACTCGGCGCTGCCATCCTCGCCCCCGCCCCCCGTCGCCCCAGAGGCCGGCGGCTGCAGCCACCACGGCCCCGACAGCCCCACTGGCCTGCTCGCCGGTTCCGAGGCGGCCACGCGAGGCCGTCGGGACCCCTCGGGCGCTGGAGAAGCCCCCACTGGGTCCCAGCCCGAAGACGAGCCTCAGCGTCCCACGGAGGCCGAGCCGGAGGCGCACCAGCCCCAGGACGAGCGCTCGCCCGGCTCACTTCCCTTTTAAGGAACTCCACGGTGACGCACCTGGAACTAACCCATTGTCCCCAGCCCTCAGGCCCTCGGGCCCAGCCGGCCAGGCCCCGCGTCTGCCCGCCCGGTCGCGGTCGCCCGGGCCCGACCTCGCAGGGCCCGACCCGGGACTCCCGCCTGCGCCATCGGCCGCCCGGACGTCCCCCTTGTGGTCACTTCTTTATAAGTCTGCTCATGCAACCGTTTGAGTCGGGTGAGAGTCACACCAGCTCGCCATTCATTAAGGAATAAATTGTCACATCGACTGGCAAATGGCGATGAAGCGGAGCATCAGGATGAATTACGGTGGCAGTGGCGGGCAGGTGGCACGGACGACAGAGCGGACCACCGCAGAGTGGTATTGCTCCTTTTGCTGGGAAACCGGGAAACCGGGAATGCTCTGCTCGTGGGTTGGTCGCAGCACACTTTGGCAGGCATCTGTGCTTAGCTTGTAAGCACAAAAAGCGAACACAATGTGTATTCCATTTGAAAGCTGGCTTTCTTAAAACCATCTTCTGTCCTTGCAACTTTCAATTGCCGACTTGTCCATCTTGATGAGACACTTTGAAAAAGACGCATAACCTTAGTCATATGAATTGGAGAAAAAGCTACAAGCTTTTGATTATATCTGACTCTAGACTCCATTGAAGTGTTGTAAAATGATGCAATTTCTAAGATGAAATACTTCCAACTCAAAGTACAACAGGTGATGGGGCCTGACGTAGGGCTGTGTCCTTACTTGGTGGTCAGTGTGTAGTGACCACAAGGAGACGTCACTTACCTGTTCCCCTGTGGCAACGCCGATTCCTAAGGGAGCCAATGCCTACAAAATAGAAGGCAGCCTGGTGTTATTTTGCTAAGTTTTGAACTACAAATCCTAATGTTTAAAAACATTTACACTGAAGAAGGAAACCTCCCTGCTGTTGAGCCATGTGAAGTCTCAAGATTGGCAGAAGGACGTCAAGAGGAATGCGTGTGTGCATAGAAGAGCTGTGTGTAACCACAGAAGGAAAAGCAAGCACTGCTCAGATGCTGCCACCAGTGCCCTTTCTGGTCATGCCTCTGCAGAGTCCCTTCTGCAGCATCCTGGCCTGTGCTCCCTCTGTGCCCGCCCCCAATGTGAGCAGCCCTCCCCTCTCCTGGCCACTCAGCAGTAGCTCCTTGTGTATTCACAGGGTTCTACTTCTAGCTGACTCCTTCCTGTGGGTCACCACCACTCCCTTTATTCCCTTCCTGTTGTCTCCCTGATGAACCTTCAGTGGCTGTTCTAGAACCCTCTCGTGTCTTTGTCAATTCCAAAATCTTCTCCCTTCCAGCTCGGTGGGTGGCCTTGGATCCTACCTTGCAGGTTAGGCTGAGACCAGTGCTCACCTGGTGAGCTTACCTCATGAGGTGCTGAACTCTTCACCTGAACACAGCCTGGCTGTTGTCTGTCCTCTCTCAGGGTCCCCAAAGGCTACCTCACTCACCTGCCACCTGGGCTCTGGGACGCTTCCCTCCAGCCTCTACAGGAACTAAAACTCCACAGTTACTCTCTTCAGGCATTGTTTTCTCTCTGGTTTCCTGCCCTTTGTTTAGGACAATAATATCCATGACACTAATAATAATAACTTGCTGAGCTCTTGCTACTTATCAGGTTCTGTGCAAAACACTGACTTAAATTTTGATTCCTGGTCTGAACCAAATGGGAGAGGAGCCATCATCATCCCCATTTTACAGAAAGCAAGAAAACAGATCACAAAGCTAGAGTGGTAGAGGTGGGGTTAGAACTCTAGGCTGATTCCAGACCCAGAGGAGGCATCTGAATTATTAAACTAAGCTGACTTCTTAACAGAAAAATTCCTTAATTTAAGATCCAAGTGTCCCTGGTTTCATATTACTTAATTTAGGAGGCAAGTGTCCTTGATTCTGACATTTGCCTGCCTCTTGTGAGATGTGTGGGCTTGGGCAGGTCACACATGTGCCACCCAAATCCGTGACTTCCTCATCTGCAAAAGATCTTTGTTTGAGCAGATGGTCTCTAAGGCACCTTCTTAAGCTAATTTTTATGCTTCCTGAAATTTCTAATGTAAATGCCCTAGGTTTGTTTTTTTTTTTAATCTCAGAGAGAAGAGAGAGGGAGACTTATTTGACTTATTTATTCTACCATTTTTCAAAGCATATATGTCTCTGGCATTGACTGGGTACCAACATTTTTTTCTTGCTTTTCAATTTTTCATGAATCTGCTCTAGTCAAGCTACCCTCTCCCCTTATCTCCCCCAGATGACCAGAAAAGTTTCCCAGCTCCCATCTCTGCCTCAGTTTCTTCCTTCCCAATGCTCACCTCCCATACACCTCCTGTCTCAATACACTCCACACGTTGCTACCAGTCACATCATCTTTAAACCCAGCCATACTATGCCATTCATTCGAGAACCAACAGTGTCTCACTTTGTTTGGCTGCCTGCTCTGAGCAGATGGACCCCATATTCCAGTCCCATGTGACAGCCTTTTCCATAACTCCCTGGCGTGCACCTTGCATTCCCTTGCATCTCTGCACTGGCCCTGCCATCTCTGCATCTGCCCTACTTCCTTGGATGCCCCTGAAGGAATGGCTTCCCCCATATAAACAAAACCTTGAGGGTTAAGGCCCCAAAGAGTTTACGAGGAGGCTCTCCAGGTGGGCAGAGGTCTGGTTCATGCTGGGGCCAGCTGGCATCGTGAAGGACGCAGCTACCCTGTAAAAGCCCATAGAGGAATAGGCCAGTTGGACTCAAGCTGAAAAGTCTTGTCTACTCATGATGCCTCACCCAAAGAGTCTCGTTTGAGAAGTAGTCCTTGGGAGGTTTGGGTTCTGTTTAAATGAGGAAGGCTATGACCACTCCATGGCTCTCACTCACACTTGCCTCACCTGTGACTTCACTGGCTTTCTCTACAGAGTCAGCTCTGGTCTACCCCAACCATCTCAGCCCATGCCCATCGTTTTCCTCAATAAACTGCCCTCGGCGCTCAGTTCCCTAGCCTAGTAGCCCACCCATCTTTGTTTCATGTATCTCAGCTTTTTCTGGCAAGGCTGCAAAGGAGGAAAAAGTAGGGCATTCCTTAAACACAGGCTGTGGTAGAGTGTCCAACATAAGGTAGATGATGTGCCAATTTACTGAGAAAAATGAAGACTTGGCCCCAACCCCACACTTTAATAGGCTGCATCAAGGAATCTATTCCTCTTAGAACTTGGAACTAAGGCGCCCCCATCAGAGTTAAATTTTTAAGATCAACACATAATGGGGGAGAGTACAGCTATGCAAAGTCATCTCAGGAAGAAAATGTTCCCAGGCAGGCAAGTCATGGCTATAAAACAAAGGAATATTTAAGTCATGTATTCTTTAACAATGGGGATACAAATGTATCCTTTAGGGGATTCTGTTTTTGTGTGAACATCACAGAGTGTACCTACACAAATCTAGATGGCACAGCCTACTACACACCTAGGCTGTATGGTATAGCCTATCTCTTCTAGGCTACAAACCCATACGGCATGTTATTGTACTAATATTGCAGGCAGTTGTAACACAGTAATAAGTATCTAAACATATTTAAATATAGAAAAGGTAATGCATTGCTTTATGACATTATCATGGCTACATCACCAGGCGATGGGAATTTCTCAGCTCCATTATTATGGGACCATTGCTGTATATGTGGGCCTTCATTGACTGAAACACATTAGGTGGTACATGACTGTAATTAACCCAATTAATGTGTAGGGGAAAAGGATTCTGTCAGATGAAAACTAAAAGGGGCATTACAGGTAAATGTTGGCTGGGTTTGAGCTCAGTGGGGAGGGATGAGGCTTAAGAGTCAACACATCTTGGGCCAGAAACAGGTATATTCAAGCCTGGAGTTGGACATAGTGGGACAGCTTAGTCTGACACCATCACATATTCAAATCCCATAGACAATCTCTGCCCTGAGTTCTCACTCATCCACAAGTGTCTGGTTTACTGTGGCTCCTTAGGAAGCTTGCTCTGGTCAGAGGATAAAAACCTTAGAAGTCATAATTCTCTTTGTAAATTAACCAACTGGCATTCTGGCTGTGTAGATCAACACCATAAACCTGAGTAATGGATCTGCCCTGAGACAGAATGTTTCTCAGATGTGCTGATAAATCAGGTTCTTTCTAAACCTGAAAGGGAAGGAAGTTGGCTGATTAGGAGGGATTTGTCACTAAGACTTTCGGGAAACAGACAGGCTACTTTCTCCTGGGGAGACCTGACTTTGACATTAGCTAGGCAAACCTTTTATTTTGAGTCATCCAGAGGAATATACACTTTTTTGTTTCATTCCAGGTGGATAAAGTAGTTTAACACCTGCCACATTTCTATATTTACAAAGTATGGGGATCATGTCTATTAACCTTAAATTGCTGGTAGCCTTTAAGCAACTTAACTTTCTCTGAGACAAACAGAAATAAGGGCAATATACAAGCTGAAGTGGATAAAAGAACATCAGGTCTGTAACTCCTGAACTTGTCACATGTTACAATTATTTCAGTGACTTCATCAGGAAACATAAATGGGAATGAGCAAAGGAATTTTAGGATCTGTCACTCACACTCTGGAAAACTAAACAAAAAAAATAAACGGCCTTGGCAGCACAAGTAGCAAAAACAGTAATGGTTTTTCTACCTTGGAAATGGCAGCATGTCCCAGGATGTCATCAGGGGAGGTCGGCTCCTCAATCCACAATGGCTTGAACTCGGCCAGCCTTGATGTCCACTCCACTGCCTCAGGCACATCCCACCGCTGGTTGGCATCCATCATCTGCAAGGAGAGACCCCTCATGGGGAGGGCTGTCCCACGCTGACCTCGCCACAGGGCTGTGCCTCCAAGGAGGAAAAGCTGTCACTCAGTGCCACCAACTGCTGAGTGAGACTCCCCTACATTTCCTCTGCTGAGGCCCAGCACATAGCCCTAAAAAAAAAGGAGCCAAAGGGCAGCCACCGAGAGCAAGACTCTGGCTCCAGACAGAGATGTAAATTGTTCACAGAGCTGCTGGGATGTCTGGTGGTGCCCTAGGCCGGCCCATGAGAAGTGGGGCTCTAGCCAATTTGCATTTAGATGCCACCCAAATGCATGTGTCTTGCAATGTTGATTCTGTTCATAGGAACTGTTTTATCATATTTATTTATCATATTTATAATAACCCTACAAGACAGTTCATATTAACCCATTTTACAAATAAGAAAACTGACATGCACAGAAGTTAAGTAACTTGCTTAAGAACAATAAGTCGGCCGGGCTCAGCAGCTCAGCCTGTAATCCCAGTGCTTTGGGAGGCCAAGGTGAGTGAACTGCCTGAGCCCAAGGGTTCGAGACCCGCCCGGGCAACTTGGCGAGACCTCATCTCTACAATAAATTAAAAAAATCAGCCCGGCGTGGTAGCGTGTGCCTGTAATTCCAGCTACTTGGAAGGTTGAGGCAGAAGGACCGCCGGAGCACAGCAGGTCAAGGCTGCGGTGGCCGGGAGCGGCCACTGCCCTCCAGTCTGGGCAACCAAGTGAGACTCCAACCCAAAAAATCAAAACAAAAGAATAATAAGTCGGCCGGGTTTGGTGGCTCAGCCTGTAATCCCAGCACTTTGGGAGTCCGAGGCAAGTGGATTGACTGAGCCCGCAGGTTTGAGACCAACCTGGGCAACTTGGTAAGACCTTGTCTCTACAATAAATAAATAAAAAAATTAGCTGGGCATGGTAGCGTGTGCCTGTAGTTACGGCTGCTTGGAAGGCTGAGGTGGATGAATCACAGGAGCCCAGTAGGTTGATGCTAGGGGTGGCCGTGAGCATGCCCCTACTACACTCCAGCCTGGGCGACAGAGACTCCAACTCAAAAAAAATAATAATAAAAAAATAAGTTAATAGTGAGTTCAAGTTCATCCCTCTCCCTCCAAGGCTGGCTCCTCTGCCACCATCCTGCCCGGATGCCAGGTGCTGGCTCTGCCAAGCTTAAGAGACAGTCCCTCATTCCCAACCCTGATAACACACTTGGAGAAGGCAGACACAGAAATGGATGTCTCCGTAGAAAGTACTAAGTGGCAGGAGCTCCCCCACAGGACACTAGGAGAACCAGAGGACAGTATGCACAGAATCAATTTTTATCATAAATTATTTAGATGAAGATGAACTCATACAAGAAAAGCAGCATTAATTCATGTATAAATAATGGGACTTCTGAACCTAGGTTAAGGACTCTAAACTTCTGTTTTTTTTTATTTTTTGAATTGGAGTCTCACTCTGTCACCCAGACTAGAGTGCAGTGGCCGCTCCCAGCCACCACAGCCTCGACCTGCTGGGCTCCAGCGATCCTTCCACCTCAGCCTTCCAAGTAGCTGGAACTACAAGCGTGCGCTACCAAGCCCAGCAAATTTTTGATTTATTGTAGAGATGAGGTCTCGCCAAGTTGCCCAGGTGGGTCTCGAACCCGTGGGCTCAGGCAATCCACTCACCTCAGCCTCCCAAAGCACGGGGTTACAGGTTGAGCCACCGAGCCCGGCTTAAACTTCTATTTTAACTTACAAAACAAGACCCTAAAATGTCATAAAAACACCTTATTGCCACTTTCTTTAATGAAAATGTTTTACATATAAGAGCTTCTTTTTTAAAAAAAATTTAACATTGCCCAGGCTGGTCTTAAACTCCTGACCTCAAGCAATCCTCAGCTTCCTAAAGCAATGGGATTACAGGCGTGAGCCACCATACCCTACCATGAGCTGTTTTTATGAATATATGAAGTTAGGATCCTTATTATCTCAGTCATAGATCCAACCTTTCTTCAACAATGGCTCCTTGACATCCGCTTGCCTGATGAGATGGGAGGGGGATCAAATGATTGGCACACCACAGCACCAATGAGAGACCCGTTTGCTCAGGGGTATCCATGTTAGCAAGAAGGAACATCTCTAACCCGAGTCTTTTTAAACTATTTCCACAGAATTAAAAAATTTAAAACTATCAGTCCCCTTGTTTTGTTTTGTTTTGAAGAGTTTGTCAGCTGGGTGCAGTGGCTAATGCCTATAACCCCAGCACTTTGGGAGGCCAAGGTGAGAGGAGTGCCTGAGCCCACGGGTTCGAGACTAGCCTGGGCAACTTTGTGAGACCTCATCTCTACCATAAATCAAAATATTAGCCAGGCGTGGTGGTGTATACCTGTAGTTCCAGCTACTTGGAGGCTAAGACGGAAGGATCACCTGAATCCATCAGGTTGAGGCTGCAGTGGCTG